GCGGCTAGCTGTTGACTCAGTATTTTGTCGAGCCAAAGTTAACAGATACATTTCTGGAACTGAGTGGTGTATGGCATGACTTTGAAATGACGTGTATTGGTGTGTAATGGCGCATTAAAATCAAACTCTATAAAAGTATAAGTAATTATTATTATCATTTATAATTGAAATTATCCAAGACGGCCATGTATTGCCAAGGAGTAAAATGGTTATCTTAGATAAATATCGTTGACGTCCAGGATTGTTCCATAATACTTTTTTTTAGAAAAGGAGGAATTGGGAAATGATCGTTTTTACAGGGGATTACAGTGCGGTCCATTTATAACAGCCTCCGTTATTATAGATTCTTCAATGTAACTGTGATAAATCAAATCTCCGGGTTTTTTTGTTCTCTATCAGATAAGTGTATGAGTCTGGCTATAACAGGGTTCAATTTGCGAAGACTCTGATATAACAGTGATCTTGTAGCGCTTGAACTTGCTTTCGATCGGTCAAATAAATTAGTTAGATTTGTCTCTACCAAGCCATTTCGCCTGTTTGTACGATTGCTTGCCTAAACACAAACTTTCAAACACATACCCCCCCCCCCCAAAAAAAAAAAAAAAAAAAAAAATGTTGGGGTCACTGATCGATTCCGTCTCAGTGTCAGCAATACAACCCACTGGAAAAGGATCTGCGATAATCGAATATAATATATAAGAAACCTGAAGATGCAATAGTACTTGGAGATTACCTTGATAACAGTTATAACAGGACTCCCTTATAGCAGGGGAAAACTTCCGGTCCCGTCTGTCCTGTTAAATCCGAGTTTGACCGTATCCAGGGCAGGTGGTCACTAGAGAAGATTTGGCTATACATGTATTAAGCAGGTGGTTGGAGGGCGCTACAGTTGTTTCTGTCGGTTTGTTAAAGGATACATTACCAAGCAAATCACATTTTACATTTTATTGATTACCGTGGGGAAATTTGATTCACGATGGCAAATATACATACATAATAAATACATACATACGTACATAAATACACAATGTAACACCATGCTGAACAATTTCATAAACATGCCATTGCTGGTCGCCACTGTGCTGCGCCCTGTTTTGTTTTGGTTTTGGGTTTTTTAAGCGGAATTGTAGTGTCTTGCTTCTTCATTGCACAGTGTGACCGTCGTTGTGTCGTTGTGCTTCTGTTAGAGTCTAACACAAGACTGTATTCGTCCTTTCTCCCACAGGAGGTAACTCTGTATGAAAGTTTTGCCCTGACATGCGGAGTTGTCTCTGTCCTCATCGCAGCCGCCAAAATCTACGTGGGTTATCGCCTTAAGAGTCAAGCTCTGGCAACTGACAGTGAGTTCTTAGTTTTAGTTTAGTTTCAGGTAAGGTTTTACTGCGCTCTCAACTGCATACGGTCATATGAACACCAATAGTGAAGAACAACAACAACAGCAACAACAAGTAAAACAGGAATAAAAGCAAGAAGAAGAACAACAACAAAAGGAAGAAGGAGAAGAGAACGACAACGACAACAACAACAACAATAAGAACAACAAAAGCAACAACAAGAACAACGTCATAATACATAAGAACAACAAATACAACAACAACAATAAGAACAACAACAACAATATCAACAACAACAACAACAACAACAACAAGGTGCTAACAATATTCTCCACTCCCCCTTCCCCCCCCAACCCCACATCCCCCACCCCAAACAATCCCATCCCCAGGTATTATCACACTCGTTGGTGCGGCAGCGTGTTTTGCCGGTGTGGCCGGCCTGGAGCTGTACGTGAACGACACACACCTCTGGTACATGGACTCAGTCTTCGGCATACTCTGTGGCCTCTTCTTGCTCGTCTTTGGGATCAGGTAATGTTGTTGTTGCTGTTGTTGTTGTTGTTGTTGTTGCTGTTGTTATAGTTGTTGTTGTTGTTGTTGTTGTTATTGTTGTTGTTGTTGTTATTGTTGTTGTTGTGGAACCTAGAGAACTCACTTACTTACTTACTCCCCGTCACGCCATCTAGCGTTTAGGGCAGCAACAAAGGATTTCCAGCTCTGTCTGTTTTGGGCCATCTTGGTCAACATCTCCCATGAATGGTTCCTGGACCTCATTTCAGACTCTACTGTGCGTCTCCAGGTCACTTTGGGTCTGCCCGTCTTGCCACATCCTTCGGGTGTGCAGTGGAGGGCAGTCTTCACAATAGAGTCTGGTTCTCTTCTCAGAACATGCCCAATCCATCTCCATCTTCTCCTTGTTATTAACAACCTTAAACCTGGAGAAGAATTAAAGCAATTGAAGTACACAAAAGTGGGAAGATATGGAATAACATCAAGAGACTAGCCCAGGATAGAGAAAAGTGAAAAGTGTTTGTCCGTAGCCTATACCCTAGTGCAGGGTGAGAAAGGCAATGATGGTGAATGTTGTTGTTGCTGTTGTTGTTGTTGTTGTTGTTGTTGTTGTTGATGATGTTTTTACTGGGGTGGAGGGGGGGTTGTTATTGTTTGTTTGCTTTGTTTTATGTGTTTTACAGCGCTCTTAACTGTAAAAGGTCGTATGAGTGCGCGATAGACATTAAACAGTGTAGTTTGATAGGAATTAATTTTGAAGAAGCCAAGGAGTAGCAGTAGAAAGGCTGCAGAAAAAGGCAGGAGCGCAGAGGGGGGGGGGGGAGGGAAGGGGGTGAGGGGGCAGAAAGTGGAGACGAAAGCAGACGACAGAACATGTTTAGAGAGCAGGGAAGGAGGTGAAAGAAGAACATTTTCAGAGAAGAAAACTTTCCGTCGCTGTCAGGTTTCGAACCTGCGACCTATTGAATGAGAGGCGAACACCGTAACCTCTATACCACGAGAGCCCTGGATCAGGTCAAGAGAAGAAAAATAAAAAATTGTAGTTTTTGGTAAGAGTTTTTACGGCACTTGCAACACAACAGATCATATAGGTGCCGAAGATTAGAGGTGTTACAAGAGAGTAACAAACAAAAACAAAAAGGAGGGGAGATTAGGATGATAGATGTTGGATAAGAAAGAAGGAGCAAACCACACCAGAATACGAGCCAACCACCTACAAAATCGAATAATGTGTAAATTTGCAGTTTCAAAGGACTTTTCAGCTTTGGAAGCCACTATACTTTTGTGGCCATTTTCTCTCTAATTTTACCTCTGAAAATAGGCGACCCTCACCTCATTCAATAGCAAATTATATTTTGACATTAATTCAAAATAGATTCCGTTTGTATTGATTTCACCGAAAGCAAGACAAAATGAACAAGCTTAATATATCAATAATCCACATGCCCAAATAGTGACGAGTGCCTGATTCCACCACGTTGTCATTCACACACACACATGCACACACACACACACACACACACACACACACACACACACACACACACACACACACACACACACACATAATATTTATTATATATATAATATATTATATTTATATATAATATACATATATATAAATTATATATGGTTGTTTTGTTTGGGGTTGTTTTTTGTTGTTGTTTGTTTTTGTTTGTTTGTTTGTTTTTTGGGGGCTGGCATTTTATAAAAACTTCTGTCATGCACCTTGTTGTTTATTCCACTTCTCCCCAGATTGCTGTACAAAACATGCAGGGAAAGACGAGAAGAACTCGGTTAGCTTCCTCCGTCAAGTATCTTCAACAACTCTGTGGTCCAGGGTCCAGGGAGGTCCGCCATTCCTCACGCCGTACTTTGAGTGAGGCAGCAGCTGGCACAAGCAAAGGCTTCGTAGTCGAAGAGTATTCTCTCTCTCCCTTTCTCCTTTGTTGAGTCTCAGTCTTCTAAGTCTCAGTCTTCTAAGTCTCAGTCTCAGTTTGAGTTGTTTCTCCTTTGTTGAGTCTCAGTCTTCTAAGTCTCAGTCTCAGTTTGAGTTGTTTCTCCTTTGTTGAGTCTCAGTCTTCTAAGTCTCAGTCTTCTAAGTCTCAGTCTCAGTTTGAGTTGTTTCTCCTTTGTTGAGTCTCAGTCTTCTTCTCAGTTTGAGTTGTTTCTCCTTTGTTGAGTCTCAGTCTTCTAAGTCTCAGTCTTCTAAGTCTCAGTCTCAGTTTGAGTTGTTTCTCCTTTGTTGAGTCTCAGTCTTCTAAGTCTCAGTCTCAGTTTGAGTTGTTTCTCCTTTGTTGAGTCTCAGTCTTCTAAGTCTCAGTCTCAGTTTGAGTTGTTTCTCCTTTGTTGAGTCTCAGTCTTCTAAGTCTCAGTCTTCTAAGTCTCAGTCTTCTAAGTCTCAGTCTCAGTTTGAGTTGTTTCTCCTTTGTTGAGTCTCAGTCTTCTAAGTCTCAGTCTTCTAAGTCTCAGTCTCAGTTTGAGTTGTTTCTCCTTTGTTGAGTCTCAGTCTTCTAAGTCTCAGTCTCAGTTTGAGTTGTTTCTCCTGTGTTGAGTCTCAGTCTTCTAAGTCTCAGTCTCAGTTTGAGTTGTTTCTCCTTTGTTGAGTCTCAGTCTTCTAAGTCTCAGTCTTCTAAGTCTCAGTCTCAGTTTGAGTTGTTTCTCCTTTGTTGAGTCTCAGTCTTCTAAGTCTCAGTCTCAGTTTGAGTTGTTTCTCCTTTGTTGAGTCTCAGTCTTCTAAGTCTCAGTCTCAGTTTGAGTTGTTTCTCCTTTGGAATGGAGTTGGTAGTCTTCCATTATGAAGCGTTTGCTGACAGCTGCTTGTTATCCTTTGGACCATGCCAGTAATGTTACCCGTATTATTATTATGATATATATATATCATGAACGTGTAGTCAGTCAGTACCTCGATTTGGTACTATTGAACTATCTTCGGCTAGCTGTTCAGCTGAACCAAGCCCCAGAGAGAAATTTTTCTTCCGGAAAGGAAAAATAAAACAAAAACAAACAAAATAATTTTTTTAAAAACGTTACATGTTTCTGTTAAAGATTGTACCATTTATCTCATTTTTCGTGCTTATTTAATTTAATCGACATTTTGAATTCGAATTTCGTCTAAATATTTCTCGAGCATTTGCAACATATAACGCAGATTATTAAGAAACTGTAGTCTGGAAAAAAATTTAAAAATTGGGGGGTTTCGAACATCTGAATAGCTGGCCGATATGAATAATTTATTATTGTTATGCTATAGATCACGCGTGCCTCTTAAACATTGCTGTGTTTTGTGATATTTTTCTTTACGCCTACAATATAAAAAAAGGCTGTTGCATTTACAATGTAATATATACACATACATGTGTGCTATTAATAGAGGGGAGTCAAGGATCTCATTTTGATTTGTGTAAGTCTTCATTCATCGGTCTGTTAGGAAGATTGCATATTATGTACCGTGATTACTGATGATATTGTCCATTTTGTTGTTGTTATTGTTGTTGTTTTTTTGTTTTTTTATTATCGTTGTTGTTGTTGTTGTTGTTGCTATTGTTGTTGTTGTTGTTGTTATTGTCGAAAATGACCCATGGATCAATAATTTGATTGGGGCTTGAACCCTAGTTACCAGGGTCGTTTGTATATCCGACATAACAAGCACCCAAACAAACAAACAAATAAGCAAACAGCAAACAGACAGACAGTCAGACAGACAAAAGAACATTAATAATAAGCAAACAAACAAACAAACAAACAAACAAGCAAGCAAAGAAACTGATGAGGGCTTTTTTGTTTGATTGAGTTTTTTTGACAATTATTATTGATTTTTGAGTCTTCATTTTTGTAGGTGAAGTAATTACCACCTTAGAATCTTGAAGTGCCTTGACCCTTGCTTAACTTCCCTGTTGTTTGTTTTACCCCTGTGCCTTGTCATGGAGTGAGGATAGGATATCGTCGGTGTCGCGAGCAATCCACCTAAGTCCGTGTGGGTACTTTTTACTCCAGTTTTAAGTCTTGATCGAGTAAGGTATCTCCGGCTCTCTATTAGGAGGACTTTGTACCTCTTTCTGTTTAGTTTTAGTAAAGGTTTTACGGCGCTCGCAACTGCATCAGGTCATATGAGGGCCAAGTAGCCTACCTCTCTCAGTCTTATTTGTCCTGGAGTTGGCCCTGACACACAGGGTCAAAGTTCAAAGTTTTTGTAGTGTTGCTCTTTTCAGGAGGAATCACGAAAAGCAATAAGAAAATTGTAAGACTTCATAGTATAAAAACTGGCTTTTGGTGATGTTGAAAAGTGGTGCATCTTTTATGATAGAGCTTTTTTTTTCGTCTTTTGTTGTCTTTTTTTTTTGGGGGGGGGGGGGGTTATAAAATCTAAATAAAATTCTCAAAATTTGGACAAAAGTGAATTGCTTGCAGCGGCGACAGTTTGTACCAGAATTATGTACATGATGATAGATGATTATATAATAGATGTTTCCCGGGAATTATTACATTAGTATTATTATTATTATTAGTAGTAGTATTATTATCATTATTATTATTATTAATATTATTATTATTATCATTATTATTATTATTATTATTATTATTATTATTATTATTATTATTATTACTATTATTATTATTATCATTATCATTATTATTATTATCATTATTATTATCATCATTATTATTATCATCATTATTATTATTATTGTTATTATTATCATTATTATTATTATTATTATCATTATTATTTATATTATTTCGAGTATGTTTATAGGTCTGCCGGGGTAATAATAATATTACATTGCAAAACATATTGAGTCTACTTTCGAGTAAGGGTATGTGTGAATGTTAATAATAAATTTGTTATGTCATGAGAGTAGGCATCCTGCCTTTTTGTTCCTTCCCACGATACTGCATTTACCTGAAAGATTATAATTGTGCATGATTTGCTGTACATGTATTATATATATAAAAACGATTTCCTTTTTACTGTGCACGTGCCATACATTTTATGT